AACTTCCTATTGCAAACTCAGATGAATCATTGCAGGCCTGGTTGTTCGGGTTTCAGGCCAAGTCTGACAATGGCAGGAGGCAATAGCAGTACCAGAGACTAAACCTGATAAAGGCCAAGGCTGAGGGTCGCATGGAAAGTGCAGATCGGCTCATTTATTCCCTTCTCACCTCCAGGTTGCCCCAGCAGAAGGCTTTTCTGACCTTGCCATGCAAGTTATGACCTCTCCGTCCAAGAATTACATACTATCTGTGATCACGGTTGGCATCTGTGTACTCTTCCTCATCGGCCTGATGTGTGGACGCATCACTAAGCGGGTGACAAGAGAGCTCAAGGACAGGTAGAGCCTGGATTGCCTGCTGAAGAAATGCCTGCCCAGTGCCCAGTTTTGTACAGCCCTCCTCTGTATAGTCTACCCACCCCCTCTTGCAAGAGGAGAATAAAAAAAAAAAAAAAAAAATTAGAACAGCAGCAGGTGTTGGCTCAGTTTTCCCATCCTGGATCTCATCCACAGCATCTTCATCCTATGAAAGTTTGTGTGCAACATTGGCCGCCCAGCCAGCAGCTTTTGTTACCCCTTTGTTAGCAGACTCTCGTTTACCTGCCTGTAGACAAGTCTCTGTTTTACTGTTGGAACTGCCTTCACTCTCCAAATCAGACTGATCTGACCTGCAGCTCAAGCAGTTTTTAAGTAAATTTTTAAAGAAAGACCTGTATCTGCATACCGGCTATATGATTTAGGTAATGGTTCATACTGAAATCTAGTCATCCTCTGTGGCTGGGTGAAATTGAGGCAGGAAATTAAAGGGTAAATTGCATCTTACACCACAGTTGGCCTTGTTTTGGACATCTTGCTCATCTTATATAAAGCATCTTCAGAGCATAGTCTTGGACAACCTAAAGATGCCAGTCATTGGCGTCATCTTCTAGTGAATATCCTGCTTTTGTGACTGTGGATTTTTTTGGGCCGAAAAGATGTCCTCCCTTTCTTCCTCTGCCACTCGCAAGATAGAATAAAATACTGACCAGGATCAAATATTCATGTGAGCTTACAACTTGTATTTCAGTAGATTAAAGACACGGTGTAGACGCGAGGCATGTAGAGCCTGTCAGTAGTGGACAGTGCTGCTGTCAGCGGGCATGAAGTGCCCTGATCAGTTACTTGGTCAACTTTGTTATTAGCGATGATGCAGTAAAATTCTAACACTCCTTTTATTTTACCTTACTAAAGGTAAGCTAGGTAATATAAAAATTACTAAAGGTAATAGCTAAGCTATTACTCTTCCAAATTTACTGTGTACAGATGATATTGACACTCTGGCAATACAGTGCTCTGTCAGTGATGCAGGAAGCAACTGAACACTCAGCATGCTCTGTCTGTAAAATGGTTACTTATGGGCTAGTGCAGTGGTGTGTAACTGGCCTGTCTGGGTCTTGACGGTTTCAATGGTAGCACTGAAGAGTGTTTTTTGTTTCCATAACTACAATTGATACTGATAGCAACTGGCGTTTCCTGGGATGTAGGACACAGGTGCTGGTCCAGAAGGCCAAGGAGGAGCGGATGGGAGGATGATAGTGTTGTATGAAAGGCAGAAACATCTGGACCTTTAAGGGAAGTCACTTTCATGTTACCATCAATGTATGCACTTGCACTCTGTGTAGTTACGCTTCCAGAACCTGATACTCACACCCAAGAACCCAAAGAATGTGTTTTAGAAAAGCTGCACCAGTAGTTGTGGCCTCTCCTTACCATCATCTTTGTTCATCAAGTACACGGAGGCGTGGAGGTCATAAGCCACGTGCTTTGGCTGAAACACTGAGCGTGTCGATGAAATCTAGGGGTGGCTGCACGAGAGTCCGTGTGTACAGTAGGATATCCTTTATTCGCCTTCTAGGTGTGCTCACCTGCCTGTGCTGTGGTAAAAATCATGTGCCTGAAACCGTCCAGCTTTGCCTGGTGCTTGAACCATAACTTTATCTTCCCATTTAGTGCGCTGCTAGGTAGGACCTGACATTTCCAGTTCTCCGTGTTGTTCCCTAAAAGAACAATAGAGGTGGTTTTGAGTGTGGACCAGCTGATTCTGATGATGCTGTGTATACAGAATGGCATGTCAAAATACTGTGAGCTTTTGCTGCAACTGAAGCTTTTTGCAAACGTACCTTCATCCCACTCTGAGGATGGACAGCAAACTGTTAGTGATACGATTTTAGACTTGCTGTGCCAGTGGTCTTTCACAAACACTTCTGGGGTTATATCAAAATATTATGAACACCAAGCAGTAGAGAAAGTCTGAGCAACGAAGG